AGTCAATATGTCTTTTTTTTCTATGAGTATAAAAAGGTACATTTATTATCATGTTATTTAAACAAAATTTGTGTTAAATTGTTGACATGGCTTCTAAATCTAATTAAACTTATTTAAATTTTATTTAAATTATTTAAACTTTATTTAGATTATCCCCTGACGTTAATTGTTTATTTCTTAGTGGTTAACAGACACATTACTAGTTCATCTTTTAAGTTTAGATCACATGAATAATGTCACTAGTGTATTGAAAAAAAGAACTGACATGGGATGATTTTCTACTTGACAGAATAATCTACTGTTGAGTGGGACTGGGACAACTAACCATGCATTTACATGTTACATGGTATATCATTGGTCTGTTCAACAATATTTTCTCTGATACCCCTGGGTATTGGTGATTGAATTTGGCAGGAATGGTCCTGGTATATCATTGGTCTGTTCAACAATATTTTCTCTGATACCACTGGGTATTGGTGATTGAATTTGGCAGGAATTGTCCTGGTATATCATTATGGTCTGTTCAACAATATTTTCTCTGATACCACTGGGTATTGGTGATTGAATTTGGCAGGAATGGTCCTGGTATATCATTAGTCTATTCAACAATATTTTCTCTGATACCCCTGGGTATTGGTGATTGAATTTGGCAGGAATGGTCCTGGTGTATCATTGGTCTGTTCAACAATATTTTCTCTGATACCACTGGGTATTGGTGATTGAATTTGGCAGGAATTGTCCTGGTATATCATTATGGTCTGTTCAACAATATTTTCTCTGATACCCCTGGGTATTGGTGATTGAATTTGGCAGGAATGGTCCTGGTATATCATTATGGTCTGTTCAACAATATTTTCTCTGATACCCCTGGGTATTGGTGATTGAATTTGGCAGGAATGGTCCATGGTATATCATTGGTCTGTTCAACAATATTTTCTCTGATACCACTGGGTATTGGTGATTGAATTTGGCAGGAATGGTCCTGGTATATCATTGGTCTGTTCAACAATATTTTCTCTGATACCACTGGGTATTGGTGATTGAATTTGGCAGGAATGGTCCTGGTATATCATTATGGTCTGTTCAACAATATTTTCTCTGATACCCCTGGGTATTGGTGATTGAATTTGGCAGGAATGGTCCTGGTATATCATTATGGTCTGTTCAACAATATTTTCTCTGATACCCCTGGGTATTGGTGATTGAATTTGGCAGGAATGGTCCTGGTATATCATTGGTCTGTTCAACAATATTTTCTCTGATACCACTGGGTATTGGTGATTGAATTTGGCAGGAATGGTCCTGGTATATATCATTATGGTCTGTTCAACAATATTTTCTCTGATACCCCTGGGTATTGGTGATTGAATTTGGCAGGAATGGTCCTGGTATATCATTATGGTCTGTTCAACAATATTTTCTCTGATACCACTGGGTATTGGTGATTGAATTTGGCAGGAATGGTCCTGGTATATCATTGGTCTGTTCAACAATATTTTCTCTGATACCCCTGGGTATTGGTGATTGAATTTGGCAGGAATGGTCCTGGTATATCATTATGGTCTGTTCAACAATATTTTCTCTGATACCACTGGGTATTGGTGATTGAATTTGGCAGAAATGGTCCAGGTATATCATTATGGTCTGTTCAACAATATTTTCTCTGATACCCTGGGTATTGGTGATTGAATTTGGCAGGAATTGTCCTGGTATATCATTGGTCTGTTCAACAATATTTTCTCTGATACCCCTGGGTATTGGTGATTGAATTTGGCAGGAATGGTCCTGGTATATCATTGGTCTGTTCAACAATATTTTCTCTGATACCACTGGGTGTTGGTGATTGAATTTGGCAGGAATGGTCCTGGTATATCATTGGTCTGTTCAACAATATTTTCTCTGATACCACTGGGTGTTGGTGATTGAATTTGGCAGGAATGGTCCTGGTATATCATTGGTCTGTTCAACAATATTTTCTCTGATACCACTGGGTATTGGTGATTGAATTTGGCAGGAATGGTCCTGGTATATCATTGGTCTGTTCAACAATATTTTCTCTGATACCACTGGGTATTGGTGATTGAATTTGGCAGGAATGGTCCTGGTATATCATTGGTCTGTTCAACAATATTTTCTCTGATACCCCTGGGTATTGGTGATTGAATTTGGCAGGAATTGTCCTGGTATATCATTAGTCTGTTCAACAATATTTTCTCTGATACCACTGGGTATTGGTGATTGAATTTGGCAGGAATGGTCCTGGTATATCATTGGTCTGTTCAACAATATTTTCTCTGATACCACTGGGTATTGGTGATTGAATTTGGCAGGAATTGTCCTGGTATATCATTAGTCTGTTCAACAATATTTTCTCTGATACCCCTGGGTATTGGTGATTGAATTTGGCAGGAATGGTCCTGGTATATCATTGGTCTGTTCAACAATATTTTCTCTGATACCACTGGGTATTGGTGATTGAATTTGGCAGGAATTGTCCTGGTATATCATTAGTCTGTTCAACAATATTTTCTCTGATACCACTGGGTATTGGTGATTGAATTTGGCAGGAATTGTCCTGGTATATCATTAGTCTGTTCAACAATATTTTCTCTGATACCACTGGGTATTGTTGATTGAATTTGGCAGGAATGGTCCTGGTATATCATTGGTCTGTTCAACAATATTTTCTCTGATACCACTGGGTATTGGTGATTGAATTTGGCAGGAATTGTCCTGGTATATCATTAGTCTGTTCAACAATATTTTCTCTGATACCACTGGGTATTGGTGATTGAATTTGGCAGGAATGGTCCTGGTATATCATTAGTCTGTTCAACAATATTTTCTCTGATACCACTGGGTATTGGTGATTGAATTTGGCAGGAATGGTCCTGGTATATCATTGGTCTGTTCAACAATATTTTCTCTGATACCCCTGGGTATTGGTGATTGAATTTGGCAGGAATGGTCCTGGTATATCATTGGTCTGTTCAACAATATTTTCTCTGATACCACTGGGTATTGGTGATTGAATTTGGCAGGAATTGTCCTGGTATATCATTAGTCTGTTCAACAATATTTTCTCTGATACCCCTGGGTATTGGTGATTGAATTTGGCAGGAATGGTCCTGGTATATCATTGGTCTGTTCAACAATATTTTCTCTGATACCACTGGGTATTGGTGATTGAATTTGGCAGGAATTGTCCTGGTATATCATTAGTCTGTTCAACAATATTTTCTCTGATACCACTGGGTATTGGGGATTGAATTTGGCAGGAATGGTCCTGGTATATCATTGGTCTGTTCAACAATACTTTCTCTGATACCCCTGGGTATTGGTGATTGAATTTGGCAGGAATTGTCCTGGTATATCATTAGTCTGTTCAACAATATTTTCTCTGATACCACTGGGTATTGGTGATTGAATTTGGCAGGAATGGTCCAGGTATATCATTAGTCTGTTCAACAATATTTTCTCTGATACCCCTGGGTATTGCTGATTGAATTTGGCAGGAATGGCCCTGGTATATCATTGGTCTGTTCAACAATATTTTCTCTGATACCCCTGGGTATTGGTGATTGAATTTGGCAGGAATGGTCCTGGTATATCATTGGTCTGTTCAACAATATTTTCTCTGATACCCCTGGGTATTGGTGATTGAATTTGGCAGGAATGGTCCTGGTAAAAAGATATTAAAATTATTGAATAATTGTATTTTGTGTCAAACTCTGGTTGCTTAGGCAACTAAAATCTTTAAAAATCTTCTTGATCCTCTATAAAAGTTTTTAATACCTATGTTACTGTATATAGTAACAGAAACTAGGGTATTCAGGGCCATTATGGCAATATCTAGGTCATTATGCAATTTTGGCCGCCTTGCTACTCTGCATTATTTTTCCATAATAGGCGAGTGAATGAGCGCATGTGCAGAATGACGTCATCAACTCTCAGTGACTTTCAAGATGGCTGCTGACGTTGAATGAACTGTAGTCACTTGCACACACAATTTTTTAAAGTTTAAATGACATAATTACAATCAGCAAAGCTTATCATTGAAGATTTATAAACTCAAGACAATACATGACTCTCATAAATTCCAAAAATGATATTAGATTGACTATAAGAAAAGGTCGGATCGTTAGCATTTAGACCTAGACAGTCTCAGAAACCGTTCTTGAAGGCACAAAACTTCAACAACAAAAAACTGACACTAACGTTACTCGTTATCTCGAGATTCAAAATGTAATTCTAACACAAATATTGAAGGGTAGAATTCTGTATTTATCGATAAAAACAACAATAAAACATCATTTTCTTATATTTAATTGTGTTGTCTTGTTTTCTAAGTTAATCTGTACAGTATGACAAATATTTGTTTACATTGACAACTGTCCGTTTCTTAGAAAGGGCGACAACCAAGATAAGCGGCGATGTCTAAACGCCGTATTTCGGACATAGGTATTAAAGACGTTAATACTTGGTTGCTGCTCGCGATTATGCGATAATGGCCCTCGAGTTCATAATGTCCTTCGGGCCTCAGGCCATGATGCACATCTTCGGGCCATTATCGCATAATGGCGAGCAGCAACCAAGTATTAACCTCTAAATGAGCCGTGTCATGACAAAACCAACATAATGGGTTTGCGACCAGCATGGATCCAGACCAGCCTGCGCATCCGCGCAGTCTGATCAGGATCCATGCTGTTTGCTGTCAGTTTCTCCACTTGTAATAGTGTTGATAAGCGAACATCATGGATCCTGATCAGACTGCGCGGATGCGCAGGCTGGTCTGGATCCATGCTGGTCGCAAAACCATTATGTTGGTTGTGTCATGACACGGCTCAAATAAAGTTTTGAACTGAGAGTGAGTAATGTCACTACTTTTACATATCACTTGTGTATAAAGAAATCAGGTGATCAGAAACTACAGACTTTGTCAAATAATATGTTTCCTAATACTAAATCATTTTATATTTATTTATTTATTTTTGACCCTTTTTCAGGAAGAGAGATGTTTCAAACTAACTCCTTTCAAAGCTGGGGATATTGCCTACTATCAGGTAAGACCTTATCTAATTAACAATATAGTTGTATGGTCTTCTTAAAATAATAAAAACTCTTTCAAGTCATCGAATATGACAGATTTTGATTTATATTGTTTGACAAAAATGACCATTAGTTGAAGCTCTATCAAAAGTGTTCATATACATCAAATTTGTTGTAAAAGTTAGATGACTTGAGGGATATTGTGAATAGCCTGGGTATATGCTATATTTTTCTTGCATTGGGGAAACTTCTACCAAATTTTTTAAATAATTTTGATTCTTCAAAAACTGTGACAGTTAATGAGTCTGTTTCCTATGTGTGTAGTGAAATCATTGAAAATCATCTTAGAATTATTGAGTAGGTAAATCTTTTGTACGAATTAACTAAAATGATTCTGAAATGACTGTCTACCAAGATAAGATCATTCAATTTTGTTAAGTAAAAAACTTAATTAATAAAATAAGTAGGCACCAAATGGATCATAAACTGCCTCTAAATATACCAATCTGGTTCCTGTGATGGCAAAAGATGATACCATTTGAATTGTATAAGATTATTGCAATAAATGATACAGTGATGTGAAGTAAAATGTGCTAGTAATCTAATAACCCATACACCTTGAATTGTATAGACTTTCAGTAAATAAACTATGATTTTGTTTCCATATTGTAAAGTTTTATGCAAATATTCATGTTACATCATGTAAATGTGTTGAAGGTTGTGAACAATTACTATGCAGAGGAGATAAAGAAGTATGAGGTAGCAGATGGATACTGTATTCAACTAGAACAGAAACATGCCCCTAAAACACGATTATTAGGATACAAAATAGTGCCATATACTGATGGGACAACAAGTAGTGAGGAACTCATAACTGCATATCTTGACATTGATATTAAATGGTCTTCTCAACAAAAGGTTTGTTTCATACAGTATGCCTACATGTATCTATATGTAAAAACATGTAAAATGGATTTAAAATTGTAATTCGTGTGGCGGCATGGCCGAGTGGTTAACGCGTTGGACTAGTAATCTAATGATCACTAGCGGCATGAGTTCAAACCCTATCAGGGGCAAGTCATTGTTTCATTAAGCAAGAAACTTTACACACATTGCTCAGTACTGGTTGGTTCCAGGAACGGATTCGAAAGTGTGTCTATAAGCTTATAGCTTCCTACACAATCGAACTAAAATAAATTCTGTATAAACCAAAATTGTAATTCTAAACAAAATATTTACCTGTATTTTATAATTATAGTTAACCCATCTATACAATTTGTTATTTGGCTTAAGGCACATGCTTTCTAGGTTCAACCATTTTGACTTATGATTAGATGCTGATGATAAATCAGTAATGAAATCAATAATCTGTGATTTACCAATGGTAAACTATCAACATTTTTCCAATGATTACATTGCACAGTAAATGCTGTTTCAAAATGGAAAGTCAGTAATCAACCTAATTTATGGCATTTTGGCATTTATAAGGCCATAAGGGTGTATAGGTTTAATGTCCATTTGTCCTTCCTTTATAACCATCATTCCATCCCTTTTCCAGTCATAACTCAAAAAGAAGAAACACTAAAATATAGGTAAATGGTACATGTACTTGGTATGTAAAACAAAGACCATTATGGGGATCATGTCTACATTTGATTTTTGTTTTATTTTTGTTGCTATGATTATAGAAGTAATGAAAGCCAATGAAAACTGAACACAAATCTGCATTTTGTCATAACTCAAAGAACAAAAGTTCTTTGAGTTATGACAAAATGCAGATTTGTGTTCAGTTTTCAACCATGATGATACTTGGTATGTGATCATACAGATAGTGTGCACTTCTATTTTTTTCATTTTTTCATCTGTCTGTCTGTTTGTAGAGCCGTCATTATAGAATTGATATCAATGTATTGTTGATATTTTTTCTGTAATAATAGTAAAACACAGTGGGTTTGATTCATACTTGAGTAAATATATTTATTGACAGAATTGACATTTGTAAAGATAAGAAAATGACCTTAATCTATAAATGACATTGACTGTCAAGGTCAATTTATTGAATTTAGCGTAAATTGTCATATCCTTGTTATATATTTTCTTTATTAATTTGATTCATTCTTAAACAAAAGAGCACTGATTACAAAACTGGCATGCTGATTAATTCAGATGTGGCCTTGGTTTTTGAATGACCTTGACTGTCGAGGTCAAAATTTTGAATTTAGGCTAAATTTTTATAATTTTGTTATTAATTATTATGCCCCCATTTCGAAGAAAAGGGGGTATATTGCTTTGCACTTGTCGGTCCGTCGGTCCATCGGTCCGTAGACCAAATGGTTTCCGAGTGATAACTAAAGAACCCTTAGGCCTAGGAACTTCAAACTTGGTATGGTGATTGGTCATGACCAGTAGATGACCCCTATTGATTTTGGGGTCAAGGGGTCAAAGGTCAAGGTCACATTGACCTCTAAGGTAAAAACGGTTTCCGATCAATAACTAAAGAACCTTAAGGCCTAGGAACTTCAAACTTGGTATGGTGATTGGTCATGATCAGAAGATGATCCCTATTGATTTTGGGGTCAAGGGGTCAAAGGTCAAGGTCACATTGACCTTGTAAGCAAAAACGGTTTACGATCAATAACTAAATAACTTTAAGGCCTAGGAACTTCAAACTTGGTATGGTGATTGTCATGATCAGTAGATGACCCCTATTGATTTTGGGGTCAAGAGGTCAAAGGTCAAGGTCACATTGACCTCTTTGGTAAAAACGGTTTCTGATCAATAACAATAGAACCTTTAGGCCTAGGAACTTCAAACTTGGTATGGTGATTAGTCATGACCAGCAGATGACCCCTATTGATTTTGGGGTTAAGGGGTCAAAGGTCAAGGTCACATTGACCTTGTAGGTAAAAACGGTTTCCGATCAATAATGAAAGAACCCTTAGGCCTAGGGACTTCAAACTTGATATGGTGATTGGTCATGATCAGTAGATGATCCCTATTGATTTTGGGGTCAAGGGGTCAAAGGTCAAGGTCACATTGACCTCTAAGGTAAAAACGGTTTCCGATCAATAACTAAAGAACCTTAAGGCCTAGGAACTTCAAACTTGATATGGTGATTGGTCATGATCAGTAAATGATCCCTATTGATTTTGGGGTCAAGGGGTCAAAGGTCAAGGTCACATTGACCTTGTAAGCAAAAACGGTTTCCGATCAATAACTAAAGAACTTTAAGGCCTAGGAACTTCAAACTTGGTATGGTGATTGGTCATGATCAGTAGATGACCCCTATTGATTTTGGGGTCAAGGGGTCAAAGGTCAAGGTCACATTGACCTTGTAAGCAATAACAGTTTCCGATCAATAACTAAAGAACTTTAAGGCCTAGGAACTTCAAACTTGGTATGGTGATTGGTCATGATCAGTAGATGACCCCTATTGATTTTAGGGTCAAGGGTCAAAGGTCAAGGTCACATTGACCTCTTGGGTAAAAACGGTTTCTGATCAATAACAAAAGAACCCTTAGGCCTAGGAACTTCAAACTTGGAATGGTGATTGGTCATGACCAGCAGATGACCCCTATTGATTTTGGGGTTAAGGGGTCAAAGGTCAAGGTCACATTGACCTTGTAGGTAAAAACGATTTCCGATCAATAACGAAAGAACCCTTAGGCCTAGGAACTTCAAACTTGGTATGGTGATTGGTCATGACCAGCAGATGACCCCTATTGATTTTGGGGTTAAGGGGTCAAAGGTCCAGGTCAAATTGACTTTGTAGGTAAAAACCATTTCCGATCAATAACGAAAGAACCCTTAGGCCTAGGGACTTCAAACTTGATATGGTGATTGGTCATGATCAGTAGATGACCCCTATTGATTTTGGGGTCAAGGGGTCAAAGGTCAAGGTCACATTGACCTCTTAGGTAAAAACGGTTTTCTGATCAATAACTAAAGAACCCTTAGGCCTAGGAACTTCAAACTTGGTATGATTATTGGTCATGACCAGTAGATGACCCTATTGATATTGGGGTTAAGGGATCAAAGGGCAAGGTCACTTTGACCTTGTAGGTAAAAATGCTTTCAAATCAATAACTTAAGAACCCTTTGGCCTAGGAACTTCAAAACATGGTATGGTGATTGGTCATGACCAGCAGATGACCTATTGATTTAGGGGTCAAGGGGTCAAAGGTCAAGGTCACATTGACCTTGTATGTTAAAACGGTTTCCGATCAATTAACTAAAAACGCTGAGGCCTAGGAACTTCAAACTTTGTATGATGATTGGTCGTGACCGGCAGATGACCCCTATTGAGTTTTGGGTCAAGGGGTCAAAGGTTAAGGTCATGACTTGATAACCCTTATTAATTGTTTGATCACTGGGTCAGAAGTCATAATAACCTTATCACATGACTAATTGGCTGCTGATAGGGGGCATACATGTTTTACAAACATATCTTGTTGTTAAAGAGACTACTGAGTTTTTTTTTGATGTGATAGGACTGAAAATACTTTTTCAAGATATATGTTCCATTTCATGAAGGTCTAAACCAATAACTTGTGTGCAAAATTTCAGATCTTTCACTCAATGTTTTTCCAGAATAATTATTCTTATTGTGAAAAATGACCCAAAATTGAAAATCACTGCAATGCTTTTCACTCAAATTGGACTAACAATAGCACAAAAAGAGATTTTTTTTTATTTTTGGGTATATTTCTTCATTATCTTTTGCATACCTTTCTGTGAGACCCAGCTGATCTATGTAAAAAAAAAATGAATTTAATGTTTTTTATGCTTTTGGACCTCAGTGGAGATCCTTTAACTATAATAGATAGATTTCATTCATACCAGGACAATACAGTCATTTATGACAACAATGATATGTTGAGTAATGTAAGTTTAACCTTGATCTGTAAATGACACTGACTGTCAAGGTCAAATATGCAATTTTAATTACATTTTGCACAAGTAAATGATGTTTACTTGGACCATCTTTACTAAATATTATTTTAAATTCAGATGCAATAAATAAAATTAAGAGTGGTCCTGCTTAGCGATGGTTTTTGTTAGAACTATCAGAAAAAGTTCTGTTTTAACTTCACTTTAGTTTATCAGGGTTTGTTATTACCAGCTGGTAGGCTCTGTTTGTGTATCACTGCCCTATAATCAATTGCTGCAAAATATATTAAAATAATGTGAGGAGAAATTAAATAACTGTGTAGACAATTTGTTGGAGAGTATAGGTAGAGTTACTCCCCTTCTCACAGTGTTCTCATACATGAATGAAGTTATGTTATAATTATGAGAGTGATAAACAAATGTTGCTGTAAAGGTTTAATTGGGCATTTGATTTTATTATGCCTCCTTTCAAAGAAAAGGTATATTGTTTGGCAAATGTATAGTTGGTACTCAATTAACTAGAGAACCATTTGACTCATAACCTTCAAACTTCAAAGGATGATCACCCTTATTAGGTGGGAGACCTTTATTGCTTTTGGGCACTGATATGTGAAGGTCAAGGTCAAAGTGACCTTGATTATTGAACCATTTGATACACAGTCCTCAAACTTCATAAAATGATCACTGTCATTGAGTATTGTCTTTAGGCACCAATGCATAAAGGTCAAGGACACAGGGACCTTGAATGTGAAAACCATTTCTGCTAAAACACTGGAGGACCATTTGACTCACAACAGACAAACCATTTCCATTCATTAACTGGAAAACCAACGGATCCATAGCATTCTTACTACATAGGATGATCACCCCTATTGATTAGAAAAGCCTGGCTGTTTTGGACATAGGTGCATAAAGGTCAAGGTCACAGTCACCCTGACTGAAAACTGTTACCAGTAAATTACTTTAAGTATGGACAAACAATGTATACATTGTATGTTAGTTTATAAATAGAACTCATGTGCTTTTCTGATTTAAGATATGTTTCCATTTAGAAGTAAAATTAAAATGAAATTATCATAGCTGTTGATATACACTAGGGGCATTGACAGTTGAACTGTCCAAATACTTTATATGTGATTAATGGATTTTTTTCTTGTATGGTTAAGAAAGTAGCATTAGATGTGCTTTAATTGCTCAGAATAAAGGTTTGTAGAATTTTTATCACAGTTTAGTTATTCATGTTAAGCATGGGAAAAGCAAACCACAGAGAATACAACTAGGTGATTTAATAGGATTATATTGAAGTATCAATAATTTTGTATAATATTGCACTATAAATTACAGCTGTTAGAAAATCTTGTCCAGCCCATAACTCTGTCATGCATTAGGGGACATCAAATGTGAAGCATGATGAGGCAGTGTGTGATGCATAAGATCTTAACCTCTAGCTCCAAGGTTGAGGTCACACTTAGGGGTCCAAGGTCAGCAGTTAAAAAATCTTGTCAAATTCATAACTCTGTCATGCATCAAGGGAATTTGAAGTCAGTTGTTATCAACAGCCATCAATCCTCAAAACTGTTACATGAAAAAGTCTTTAATTGAAAAATTGTTTATAAAATGCCAACACTGTCCTGTCCTGACAGCTTTATTCATATTATTCTGTGTCCTGATTTATAATTATATAGTGTGAGGCATCCTTTTCTTCAGAAACATTTCTAGTTTTTTGATACATTAAAAATAACTTGCAAAGAAAACTACATGAAATTTTGACCATCTTCTACTTAGAAATTACAATGTCCAGGAGTAAGTACTAGGCGCAGACTTGGTTGAAACTTGGGTGAAACCATCATGGATTTCCTGTGAAGCTATCATGAGCAACAAACTACATCTTATATCTGTCTTTAAAATCCACAATATCTTGAAACAATAGCTCCCTCTAATCCATATCATTTTTTGAACAGAAAACACATTGACTGTCATAACTTTATCTATTTGTATTGTTTTTTAAATAGGTTGAACTGGAAGTGACTTCTAAAACTGGACAGTCAACAGTAAGACCAGGAGAGGAAGTTGAGATAATTGTGAAAACAACAGGTGAAGCTATTGTTGGATTAAAAGGTGTTGACAAGAGACTTACTTTTATGGCAGATCAAAATGATGTTACTCTAACAGAGGTATGATGACATTTTAAGCTCACCTGAGCTAGCTCAGGGTGAGATTTTAGGATCATTGAATGCCCGTGGTCCGTAGTCTGTCTTCCATCCTCCACCCACACTTGTTCATTAACACTCTAGCGGTCACATTTTTGCTTCAATCATCATCAAACTTTGTCAGGATGCTTATCTAGGTAAAAGCTCGGATGCATTCGACCATGGGTCATCTCGGATGAAAAACTTTTTTTTTTTTTTTTTTTTTTTTTTTGAGGCCCCAACTGGGTAACCCCGTTTATTTACCCCGTAATAGGTATGAGAGGGTCGGGGTCATCCCTCTGATACCTTACATGATATCTACATAATATTTAAATCATCATCTATAATAATATTTTTTATATAATTATAATATACATTATATTCAAACATTCAATCAATTTTCATATAATATGTATAACAATTATGTATGATAATGTATTATGCAACAGCTTCAAAACAAACAAAGAATATTGGTTTGGGGTAAATTGATTTAGTGTAGCCTATTAGTTTATTAAAGTTCTTACAATTTGCCATCCTTCATTTACATGTTTGGTCAAATTTGTATTTTTATAAATATTCCACGCCAATTTAAGACTATTTCTAAAACCAGGTATTGTAGGTAACACGATTTTTCTCTTTGACAAATAAATATATCTTTTCAATTCTAAAAACAAAATTCATATTTAAAATCATTAACTTCAGAACCTAAAAATAAATGATTTACAATTAAAATTATCATCCAAATTATCTATCTTGTCTTTCAGATATTGAAATAACAATTGAATTTTTGGACATTCCCAAAAATAAATGCAACAGAGTTTCCTCTTGGCAATTGCAAAAAGTACACATTTTACTATTGACAATTTTCATTTTGAATAATAGTGAGTTGGTTGCTAAAGTTCTATGAATTATTCTTGTCTGAAACCACTGAATATAGGAATCTTTGGTACATTTAAATACATAACTATATATTAAATTCCAATTTATATCAAAATTTGTAAAAAATGAGTTCCATTTTTCTTGACATGTTGGTACATCTTGATTTCTAACTAGAATTTCATAAACATATTTCTTTTTGATATTTTGTGTAATTAAAATAGGTTTTATATAACAACTCATAATTGGGTATTGAACATTAATAAAATCTTTACAAATAGAAATGTTTAGCTTTTGTGTATATAATAATATTGCTTTTTTCAAACTATGATATTGTAAAAAATTTACGTGTTTTTGTGTCACCTGCTCTAAGTAAGTTAAATCTACAAAATCGCCTTGGGGATTAATAATATCGTTAACAAATCTGATTCCTTTTTCATAAAAAATTTTGATATAAAAGTATCTATTTCCTGCTAACAAGTTATGATTGTAAAACAATGGCATTTGTAACACTTGTTCTAAACTGTCTATACAAAGTTTATCTGTAAAAATCATATAAGCTTTTAAAACATCTATCCAAAAAGCATTTTTAATTTTATCAATTGTCAATTTACAAAACAATTTACCTGTGCTAAACACTTTATCAATATTGAATAAAGCCATCACTATCTTATAACATTTACTGCTACTATTACTAACATACCTTTTAAACCATTTTATCTTTACAGAATGTATATAACTATCAATATCAATCATATTTAGGCCACCTTCCTGATATGTTTTAATTACTACTGATTGCTTTATCTTTGCTTTACCTTCCCATATAAATTTATAAAATAAGTCATTAAGTGTTTTCAAAAATGCTGAATTAGGTGTTGGTAAACTTGTAAAGCAATGAGTGAATAAAGGAAGGAGTAATGACTTAACAACAGTAATTTTTCCTATAGGTGTTAACATTCTTTTTTTCCAGTATCCTATACTATTTTTAACTTTTTGAAGTTTTTCATTAAAATTTAACTCTATCATTTTTTCTAAATCAACATCAAATATCAAACCTAACAATTTAAACTGTGTATCACCCCATGTCAGTTTCCATTTTGTCTTAATAGATCTTGTACTGTATTTAAGAGAGCCTATCCAAATAACTTTAGTTTTATCAAAATTTACTTTCAATCCTGAAATTTCTGAAAACGTGTTTAATAACTTTAAAATGATGAAAAACTTAATCACAGGAATTAAAAATAGAAAAACCTTGTTAACACTCTAACGGTCACATTTTTACCTCAATCATCAGGGTGCTTGTCTAGGTAATTGCTCAGATCTGTTCTAACATGGGTCATCTCGGATGCAAACCTTGTTAACACTTTAGTGGCTACTGTTTTGATCCAAGTGTCCTGGAAATTGGTCTGAAAGTTTGATTTGATGATTTCTAGGTCAAGATTGAATATGGGTCACCTGGGGTCAAAAACTAGGTCACACTGCTCAAATAGGGATAATCCTTGTAAACACTTTAGTGGTCACATTTTTGACTCACCTGTCATGAAACTTGGTCAGAATGCTTGTCTAGGTAATTGTTCGGATGAGTTTGATGGATCAGGTGAGTGATCTAGGGCTATCCTGGCCCTCTTGTTAAACTCAACATTTTGGAGAAAAAATGTGCAGCTTTTCTGGCATCAGTTGACATTTTTATTAAGGTTCATTTTCTCAGAAACTCAAAAAACTATTGACTTCAAACTTGCATACATGTTAATTGTCATAAAAGGATATCATTTCAAAAGGGCAGATAATCCTTAAATTTTTTTATGCAAAGGTATGTCCCATTTTCAATTTCAATTTTTTGCCCTGGTTTGCCTTTTTGTTAAGGTCAATTTTTCTCAGGAACTATCATAGTAATTCTCCTCAAACTAGATTTTAAAAATTTGACACCATTGCAGATAGTCCTAAAATTCATTTTAGCAGTTATACACCTGTTTTACTTATTTTGGCTTTGGAATACTTCACTTGTTCAGTTTTTAAATTGGAATGCATTTCTAAAGGGCAGAAAACTTAATAATTTATTTTTCTCAGTTATGCCCATTTTGACTTTGAATTTCTAGGTTAACTTTTTTTAAGGTTCATTTTTGTAAAAGTATCAAAGATATTCACTTTAAACTTGGTATACTTGTCCACTTTTAAATTTGAAATGCATTTCTGCAGTCATTTTTTATCAATTACTTCCCTTTTTTGACATAGAATATTTTCCTTTTTCTTAAGAGTTTCAAAGGTATTCACTTCAAACTTGAATATTTGTCGACTATAAAAGGCAAGTAAGTCTGAATTTTGCCCCTTTTCTATGTTGCTTTTGTTATATAATCCTGCAATGAGAAAAGTGGAGCATGGACAGGTCTTGTTTTAAATTTTGTAATCATGACTACAAACGACAGGCTGTGAACAAAATAAAATATTATAAGGTTATTGAGTTGAGTACAAAACTGAATTTTATTGGATGAGTACACGGCTGTCTAACTTACGTTGAACAAGACGCTATAGGTTTTTGCATCAGTCCAAAAGAATCAGTATTGTTCCCAACCATGTTTAATGACCTCTTTATTATGTGCTTTACATTAGAACAAATTTGTTTTAATTTTCAAGATACTTAAAATATATCTTAATCTAGAAGATATAAAATTTACACTATTAAGATGTAATAGAAATTTTGAAACATACTGATATTTTTTTGAACAGTTAGAAAATTCTGTAGCCAGGCAAAGAAGTTTTGACAGAAAGAAGGAAATCCCAATCAAAATCCTCCAATGTTTCCTATGCCATTTTTGGAACGTCCAGGAGGTCCAATAGCTAAAAGGAAAAAGAGATGTTCAGCTTGCATACACTCTGATCAATACATGGACGTGAAGAAAATGATACAGGTTTGCTACAATCATTTCAGATATTCTATATAAGAAAATGATACAGGTTTGCTACAAACATGGCATATATTCTATATAAGAAAATGATACAGGTTTGCTACAAACATGGCATATATTCTATATAAGAAAATGTTTAAACATTGTCTCATGACTGTGGAACAGTCCATCTAGTTATAAATACCTATCAAAATAACATGACGTATATTATATGAAGTTAACACATTGCATTTGTGTTGATTGCAGTATTTCCTTAAACATTTCCTTTATACATACAAGAGTATTTCCCTCAATTGTATAAAATGTAGTCTTTTGAAACTTATTACATAACTTCAGTCTCACTAAGGTGAATAGTTTTAGCACAATGTTTTACTTGGTTAATGCCATTAATATGTCAGACAGCAATATCATGTTATGTCCAAAAGTCATCTGCTTGCCTGATTCTATTTAATTCTTATTGGTATATAGGTCAATAGGTAAAAGGTCAAGGTTACATAGTTTCTCTTCATAGTTTGATTGTTTTGCCCTGTAGATGACCTATATTGGATTTTAGGTCAGTATGTCAAATGAAGCTAATGGAAGAGAAAACAATATTGTTAACATTCCTGGTTAACCTTAACCATAACAGTCCATTTTCTCAGGAACTGTCAAAGTATTTACCTCAATCTAGATTTCCATGTTGACTATCATAACTATCATAATTTGACACCATTGCAGAAGGGCAGATAATCCTAAAATTCATTTTAGAAAAGTAATTTGCCTTTTTAGCTCACCTGTCACAAAGTGACAGGGTGAGCTTTTGTGATCGCTTTTCGTCCGGCGTCCGTCCGTCCGTCCGTCGTCCGTAAACTTTTTCTTTAAATGACATCTCCTCATAAACCACTAAGCCAATTTCATCCAAACTTCACAGGAATGTTCCTTTGGTGGTCACCTTTAAAAATTGTTCAAAGAATTTAATTCCATGCAGAACTCTGGTTGCCATGGCAACCGAAAGAAAAAACTTTAAATATCTTCTTTTAAAAAACCATAAGAGCTAGAGCTTAGATATTTGGCATGAAACATCCTCTAGTGAGTGTCTACCAAGTTTGTTCAAATAAAAGCCCTGGGGTCAAAATTGGCCCCGCCCCGGGGGGTCATTGATTTTCCCTATATGCATATAGTAAAAACTTAAAATATCTTCTTTTAAAGAACCCAAAGAGCTAGAGCTAAGATATTTAGCATGAAACATGTTCTAATGGGTGTCTACCAAGTTTGTGCAAATAAAAGCCCTGGGGTCAAAAATGGCCCCGCCCCGGGGGTCATTGATTTTCCCTATATGCATATAGTTAAAACTTAAAAAATCTTCTTTTAAAGAACTCAAAGAGCTATGGCTAAGATATTGAGCATCAAACATGTTCTAATAGGTGTCTACCAAGTTTGTTCAAATAAAAGCCCTGGGGTCAAAATTGGCACCGCCCCAGGGGGTCATTGATTTTCCCTATATGCATATAGTAAAAACTTAAAAAATCTTCTTTTAAAGAACCAAAAGAGTTAGAGCTAAGATATTTAGCATGAAACATGTTCTAATAAGTGTCTACCAAGTTTGTTCAAATAAAAGCCCTTGGGTGAAAATTGGCCCTGCCCCGGGGGGTCATTGATTTTCCCTATATGCATATAGTAAAAACTTAAAAAATCTTCTTTTAAAGAACTCAAAGAGCTATGGCTAAGATATTTAGCATCAAACATGTTCTAATAGGTGTCTACCAAGTTTGTTCAAATAAAAGCCCTGGGGTCAAAATTGGCACCGCCCCGGGGTTCATTGATTTTCGTTATATGTGTATAGCAAAAACTTAAAAAATCTTCTTTGAAAAAACCCAAATAGCTAGAGTTAAGATATTAAGCATGAAACATCTTTTAGTGAGTGTCTACAAAGTTTGTTTAAATAAAAGACCTGGGGTCAAAATTGGCCCCGCCCCGGGGGTCATTGATTTTCTTTATATGTGTATAGCAAAAACTTATAAATCTTCTTTGAAAAAACTCAAATAGCTAGAGTTTAGGTATTAAGCATGAAACATCTTCTAGTAAGTGTCTACAAAGTTTGTTCAAATAAAAGCCCTTGGGTCAAAACTGGTCCGGCCCCAGGGTTGTCATTGTTTTTAACTATATGTGTATAGTAAAAACTTTTAAAAAAATCTTATTTTAAAAAGCCCAATGAGCTAGAGCTTACTTGTTTAGCATGAAACATCTTCTTATGGGTGTCTACCAAGTTTGTGCAATAAAAGCCCTTGGGTTAAATTGGCCCTGCAACATTGGGGGGTTGGGGGGGGGGCCTATATACAGGTGAGCGACCTCAGGGCCATCATGGCCCTCTTGTTATTGTTACTGCCAGGGGCATTTGTGTTTAACAAACATTTTCTTATTTGACTTTTTCTCTTCTTAGGTTAATTTTCTCAAAAACTGTCAAAGTTAATCACTTCAAACTTGGAATATTTGTTCAGTTTTTTAATTGGAATTTATTTCTGTAGAGCAGGTAACTTAAAAATTTATTTTTAATGTCCCGACTATATGATTTATTCTTTCATTTTGTTATAAATGCCTGCCTTCTGTTATATGGATATCATGCATCAATGAAATTGTGGTTATATAAATTCCAAATTTTTTAATTTGACTGACAAGGCAGGACTGATAGGGGTCCAACTAAGATGTGTTGCTCACAACATTAGTGATGTAAATTAGTAGTAGTAGTATAATAATGATGTTGAAGTAATTACTGTAATGTGACTTTTTGATATTTTGAACATTATAGGAGTCTGGACAAATCATTGTGACAAATGTAGATTTGAAACGCCAGGATGGTTTTGACTTTTCAGGTAAGGCAAAAATAATTTCATATCAGTGATTTTGTAAATTGATTTTGGAACAGTTTGTTGAAAGTTTTAGGAATTTCAATATGAAAATACAAAAGTTTAGCTAGCAGCAGTCTAGAACCTGGTCAGGATGAACAGATTGTCAGGCTGGTCTGGCTCTATACTGGTGGCCAAAGCCAAACTCATTTGGTTCCAGGAGGTTCTGGTTTTTTATATGATATTAAACATGCATTTATAAATTAAATAAAATAATGGTAAAATTTAATTTCATTTTTAGATGTTAAATAAGACAAATTTTATATAAAATTGATTACATATACAGTTTTAAAGTTTGTAAATATTGTACTATAGCATTGTCATTGACTTTACAGTAAAAATATTTTACAGAATGTCGTATTCACTTTGGATGTGTTTTTTTTTTACACCTACTTTATTAAAGTTATGTTATATTATAGTACAAAGAAGAACTTTATAAACTTTACAATTTTGATAATGCACATTATAATCTTATGACATGATTGAGACTACATGTAAGCATCATATTTTAGTGGCATACAACCTTATTTTGTGAATTTTAAGCTTTTTAATTTCTACTAATTTTTACATTTGTCAAATGCAACTTTTGCTTAATTTCATTCACATGTAATTGTCTTCATAGCTTGCAGTTGTGTAATAATTGTATTCATTATCATTTTGTGCCTTGATCATATGCTATGATGATATGCTATGATGATATGATATAATGATATGATATGATATGATGATATGATATGATGATATGATATAATGATATGATATAATGATATGATATGATGATATGATATAATGATATGATATGATGATATGATATGATGATATGATATAATGATATGATATGATGATATGATATAATGATATGATATGATAATATGAGAAAATGGTAGTGCTGGTGTAGTAATGTACATGTATTCAACAAAGAGATATAATTAGATATGTTACGTCACATGCACATGAAAGTTGCCTTGCTTTGAACATATAATGTAGTGATGTAGATTCTTGTGACTCAGTCATGACTATAACAAAATGTTTGATAATAAATAAATAAATAAATAAGTATACTTGATTGATCAAAGGTAATTTGATAGAAAAAACCTATCCTCCTCAAAATCTTCAGGATATTTCTTTATTGTCTATCACATGACAATGTTGTGTCTTGTCAGAACCACATCCCTTTTCAAAGGTCAAGGTCACACTTATACACTATCACAATGAAGAGATTAATAGGTTATCACACATTTGTGTCTGGACAATAACTTTGTCCTGCATCAAAGGTTTTTAAAATAACTTGGCACAATTGTCTACCTCATCAAAATGACGTGTTGTTTGTAAGACCCATGTTCAAACACCCAAGGTCAAAATCACTCTTATAGTTTGAAGATTTTTATGCTAATAAGAAGAGTTTGAAGGTACAAATTAGTTTCCATTACTGTAACATTGTCATGAATTGATTATAAAATAAATGGCATAAATGTCTACCACATCAAGATGTTGTGTCGCATCCAAGTCCAAGGTGTTAAGTTTGCTATAAATAGCACTTCATTTCACAAGAACAATATTAAGTAATTAGTTACTTTCATTCCCTATTCTTTTTTATAATACCTGCATGCTTAAGAAACCTTTTTGGGGTGATTCTCTTTTTCTATAAATTTCTCAATATTGACATTCTACTGAGAAAGTTTATCTTAGACACAAATGTACAGAATTGTTACACTTGCTTTTCTCTTACACTGTCTGCTTTGAGCTTGTGAACAACATATTTTGTGTGAATTTAAGCTTACTGTGTAGTATACAAGGTTAGCTATAAGGATCAGTGTGTTGTCTGTCCTTCAACTTTTGTGGTCATTAACACTCACAGTTTTAATTGGACTTTTCTCAAACTTTGTTAGAATGTTTGTCTCACAAGTTTGATCAGGGGTCATTTTAGGTCAGAAAGTTAGTCACATCCCAAGAAATCATTGCTAGCACTCCAGAGGTCACAATGTTGTTGAGATCTTCATAAAACTTTGTCAACATATATATGGGTTTTTTTTACACTCATCTGAGCTGGTTCATCATCAGGTGAGCTTTTAGGAAGCTTTGAATGACAACTGTCATCCATCCACATTTACATTGAAGTTTGTTAACACTCTAGTGGTCACATTTTAGCCTCAATTGTTACCAAACTTGGTAGGTGTTTGCCCCAGTTACATTTTCAACCTAAATATCATGCAAATTGGTCAAAAAGGTTGCTTAGATGATTTCTAGCATAAGTTTGAATATGGGCCATTCAAGGTAAAAAAATATGTCACACAGCTCAAATATGGTAAAACCTTGTCAACACTCTAGAGGCTACTGGGATATTTTAGTCTTAATGTCATGGAAACTGTTCTGATTATTTAGATGATTTCTAGCTGAACTTCGTATATGTGTCAGGGTTCAAATACTAGGTCACACAGCCCAGATATGGAAAATAATTGTAAAGGCTCAAAGGGAAACATTTTCAGCCCAGATATCCTGAAAATTTGTCAGAAAGGTTGTTTAGATGAATATGGGTCATCTGGGGTTAAAAACTAGGTCACACAGCCGAAATACAGAAACCTTATTTACACTCAAGAAGTAACATTGTCTGGCAATCTTAATTCTGTGGCGGCACATCCATCAGTCTGTCACAAAACTTGTCTGGATTATTCCTCAAAAACTACTAGTGGAATTTCATCCAAACTTACAGAAATGATCAATACCAAGTCTAGTTATGTATATCTTTGGCATTTTCCCGTTTTTTGATTTTGGTTAGAGTTATGGGCCTTCAGAAAACTTAGAAAATAGGAAATTTTTATTATCTCTATTGACTACATTGTATGATAAACCTTCACCTGAGTGCTAAAACTCAATAACTGCATATTTTTCATGGTCAATATAGAATAAATCAAGTACAAATTACCACAATTAAGTCCTTCAATTATTTTGACACCTTTGAGACATTTTGCACACCTCCAACCCCCCCCCCCCACCTACACCCCATTTCTAAGTTCCTTCAACTTTGACTTACCGAAGCTCTACTGTATTTTAATTTTGCTCTTTGTTACTTATCATTACCATGTGTGAATATGGACTTGCAATTTTCTATTCATGATTTATATAAACTTTTTGTTCAACAGATGCTGATAGACTATTTCCTCTGTATGACGGCTTTGATATGAAGAATCCATCTGTAGCTGAAGGCACTCAAAATTTTTTAACCCCATTTATAACTAAATATGTAGTGTTAACCTAATTATTATTGTTAATTGTAATAATTGTCATAATTGTTCTTTAACATAGTTAACTTGACTTATTGTCAAAGTTGGCAAATATTGTTTGTTATTGTACACCTATATTTCATTAAACAAGCTATATTTCTGGCTTTTCTGCCTATTTATGCCCCTTCCACCCACCCCCCTCCACCATATAATGGCACGGGGCATGAAGTGTTAACACTGTCTGTACGTGTGTCGTGTGTCAGTATTTTCACATCATGTATGTGATGTGTGCATGTTTATGTGTTGTTTATATCACAGTAACAGCTTATTTCTCCACACCCACACAAACTTTGTTCATTTTCAAAACATTTGGTGATCAGACATATTGTTTTTGTTTTTTTTACATTTTTCACAAAGCTAGTATTTGATGTATGCCTTTACCACAATCAGACAATGTTTCATCCACAAGACCCTCTCTTTAACTTCAAGGTCAAGATTGTAAGTCAAAGGACAATTTGAGTGTCTGCTTTCTTCTTTGTATTCTTGTTCCTTGATGTATTATCAAGTCATTTGGCAAATGTATAATGTCTTCATCAGGGTCACAAGATATGGTGTGCACAACAACCAGGTCAAGGTTGGTCTGTTAGAAATATCATGTTCTTATGACACATTTCTAGTTTCAGAACAAAATTAAATTTTCATCAATTTTCCATCTGTTAGGAATCATCTTTAGTGTGGATTAAACTGTGCAGTATGTCATGGTTGTATCAGCCACTCATAGGCTTAGACAGTTTTTAGCTCAACTTTTTTTTTTAAAAAAGTAGAGGTATTGTGTTAGTCCTAGCGGCATTGCTGTTGCCGTTGCCAATCCCAATGCTGTTGCCGTCCGCAAACTTGTACCTGGATCATAACTTTTTTAGTTCTTGGTGTATTGTATTCATACTTGGCCACAACAACCCTTGGGACAAGACCTTTCAGTAGACCACACTAACCTTGACCTTCAACCATAAATGACCTTGACCCTTAAGGTCAAAAGTCCAAATTTTGCTTGTTCTTGCTATTATTGGCTGTAACTTTGTTATTTTTGAATGAATTGTCTTCAAACTTAAATTTAATAATCTTAAAGGATATCCATAAAAATAACCAGACAGACCTTGACCTTCACTCATAAATGACCTTGACTTTGAAGGTCAAATCATTGAAATTTTCATTTTTTGACTGTAACTTTGTTATTTTTGAATGGATTGTCTTCAAACTTGAACATAATAATCTTCAAGGATTACCCTTAAAAATAACCAGACAGACCTTGACCTTAACTCATAAATGACCTTGACTTAGAAGGTCAAATTATTGAAATTTTCATTTTTTTTTGCTGTTACTGGCTGTAACTTTGCTATTATTGAATGGATCAACTTCATATTATAACAGAACTTTCTTAAGGACATTTTAGACCTTCATGTTTATCAAACCCAAATAGACTAAATTGGCTCTTTTATGACTTTGACCTTGAATGCATATATATATAATATTAATATATGTATGAATGTGTATTATATATACAAATGCATATCTTAGAAGACAGACTGATTCAATTTATAAAAAGGAAACGTTAAGATTTGTTCAAACATTTCTTTGTTTGCTTTTAGAAAAAGTAAAAATTCCAGCGTTGCCCATGCCCATATTTTTACTGGTGTCTTGCTGGACTACTTTCTCACACAAAATTAAAAGGGATTTCTTTCTAACAATAAGGTTAAAAAAGAGGAGAAGTGTATTATAAACAGAAAATTCAAGTTTTTCTATCGATACAGTTACTTGTGAAATATTTATTTTCTTACTGCTGGATGAAAATAAATTCTATATTTATAGAAAAAAACTTATATAATTATCCTCTATATAAGTGCATGAGCTAGAATCAACAAACTACAGGAATGTTAATCAACATGATTGTTAATTTTTGAATATGGATTAATTCAGTTTTGTTAGCTCACCAGAGCCGAAGGCTCAGGGTGAGCTATAAGTATCAAAGGGGGAGGGGGATGCTCCGGCGTCCATCTTCCGTCGTCATGCATCAACAATGGTCTTCTTCTCTGAAACTACTGGACAGATTTACTTCAAAGTCTGCAGCATCCTTGTGACAGTCACACTTGAATTTGCTCATGTTATTCCAATTGGCCCCTTTTAGGGGTCAGCAGAGCTAAAAATAGAAAAACCTTTAAACATCTTCTTCTACAGAACAAATGATTGGATGATCACCAAACTTTGTCTGTAGCATGCTTAAGAAGTCTTTTATCAAGTTTGTTCAATAAATTTGATAGGCCCCTTTTAGGGGTCTCTAGGGCTAAAAATAGAAAAACCTTTAAACATCTTCTTCTACAGAACTAATGGATGGATGATCACCAAACTTTGTCTGTAGCATTCTTGGGTAGTCTTTTATCAAGTTTGCTCATATAAATTTGATTTGCTCTTTTAGGGGTATCTATGGCTAAAAATAGAAAAACTGTTAAATGTATATTTCTAGATAAATAATTGATGGATGATCACCAAACTTTGTCTGTAGCATTCTTAGGTAGTCTTTTATCAAGTTTGTTAATATTATTTTGATTGGCCCCTTTTAGGGGTCTCTAGGGCTAAAAATAGAAAAACCTTTAAACATCTTCTCCTACAGAACTAATTGATGGATGATCACCAAACTTTGTCTGTAGCATTCTTGGGTAGTGTTTTATCAAGTTTGCTCATATTAATTTGATTGGTCTTTTTTAGGGGCCGCTAAAGCAAAAAAATAGAAAAACTGTTAAATGTCTATTTCTAGATAACTAATTGATGGATGATCACCAAACTTTGTCTGTAGCATTCTTGGGTAGTCCTTTATCAAGTCTGCTCATAATAATTTGATTGGCCCCTTTTAGGGCCGCTAAAGCTAAATATAGAAATACTGTTTAATGTCTATTTCTATTTCTAGAGAACTAATGGATGGATGATCACCAAACTTTGTCAGTAGCATTCTTGGGTAGTGTTTTATCAAGTTTGCTAATATCATTTTGATTGGCCCCTTTTAGGGGTCTCTAGGGCTAAAAATAGAAATACCCTCAAACATGTTCTCCTACAGAAGTAATTGATAGATGATCTCCAAACTTTGTCAGTAGCATTCTCGGGTAGTGTTTTATTGAGTTTGCTCATATTAATTTGATTGGCCCCTTTTTTTTTTTGCAAAAGCTAAAAATAGAAAAACCTTTAAATGTGTATTTCTACAGAACTAATTGATGGATGATCACCAAACTTTGTCTGTAGCATTCTTAAGTAGTCTTTTATCAAGTTTGCTCATATTCATTTGATTAGTCTTTTAGGGGCCAGTAAAGCTAAAAATAGAAATACCTTTAAATGTCTATTTCTACAGATTATTGGATGGATGATCATCAAATTTTGTCTAAAGCAATCTTGGGTAGTCTTTTTTCAAGTTTGCTCATATTATTTTGATTGGGGCCGCTAAAATTAAAAATTGATATTCATTGAAATGCTATAGCTACAGAACTAATTGATGGATGATCACCAAACTTTGTGTGTAGTATTCTTGGGAAGTATTTTATCAAGTTTGCTCATATTAATTTGATTGGCCCCTTGTAGGGGCCACTAAAGCTAAAAATAAAAAATAGAAAAAAACTTTTGAACATCATTTCCTACTGAAATAATTGATAGATGGTCACCAAACTTTGTAGCATTCTTAAGTAGTCTTTTATCAAGTTGGCTCATATTAATTTGATTAGCCCTGTTTAAGCTAAAGCTTAAATACCCCAGGTCATGGCATTTCTTCAAATTATTGTTTAAACATGCATTCTATGCTCAAATTTAATATTAGAATATATCGACATTCCAACACTGGAAAGCAGTTGTTTCTGGTGAGCAACTCAGGGCCATCATGGCCCTCTTGTTATAGTTATTGTTATATTATAGTTATATGTACTTATTAGTATAAATTTGTGTTTACATAGCCCAAAAAGTATTTGACCTGGAGACATGAAACATTACAGGAATGTTGGTAAGCATGTGTAGTTTTTCACACATGGGTGTTTGCTTGTGGATTTGTTCTGTAGTTTAGAGTTATTGCCCTTGACTTAGTTAAAGATTTGCAATTTTCAACTTGTGTCTTGCATAACTCAAAAAGTGTTTGAACTTGAGTCATGAAACGTTACAGGACCATTGGTCAACATTTGTAATTGTGAAGCTGTGGTTTTGCTTGTTAAGCATACATTAGGATGTAAAATTTAGATTTTTAATTTTAGGAAAAATCAAGAAGTCAGCATTGGAAAAAAATGGATGATGTTTTAATATGCCCCAACCACTTAGGGGTAGGGAGAGTCATGTAGAAATTCCTTTGTTCCCTGCTGTATGTAAACAGTGGAGTGTGGGGAATCCATGTCCTATTCTAGTCTCATTTCATTTCTAGTTTCACAATAATAGGTAGAATGTCTACCTCTGCATGTCTAATAATTTATACAGATAGCAAGGATAAAGACCAAGAGAGAAATGCTATACATGTACTTTTAACATTCTTTTCAGGCTGATGAACTATGATGTTGTCATTATTTTTATTATGATTTGTCTTCTGTAATTGTTTCTCTACTACACAGGTCCACCACTTTTTATGGAGGATGATGCTCTGCGAAAGGATGAAGTTGCAGGCAACTTTTTTCTCACTCTTTGTTTTGTATTTGGTTTTCTGTTCACAATTATGCTGATTTGTTTGTATATTCATAACATTATAGATATTTGCCTACATTTTTTTATTCTGATTTTTTAGCTCGACTTTACTAAGTATATGGAGAGCTGTCCTACTCGCCCTGGTGTCCGCTTCTTATATATAAAACATTTTTTTTGCTATTTATTTGATGAAAAGTTTCAATTATTATCGAAAAATGTTATACAAGCATTTCTTTTGATGTTTTCGACATAATTATATCAAAATTGTACCCATCCACTGTGTTTTT